CCTCCCCTTCTCTCCTTTTTTTATCTGTTTCTTTCTGTTTTATCACCCTCGATTTCTGTGTGTTTTTACTTCTCTCAGATGCTGTCTTGGCTTGCACACTCTTCACCTACATGGCGTTTGAGTTAACAGTAAAACCTGAATAAATACATATTAAAGAGATAGACAAGAACTAGGGTCTACTGTTAGCTCCCTCCAACCACTTACACACTGACTGAAACAAAAACACACCCACACACAATCTCTTCTTATATTTCTCCCGTCTTTGGTTTTTTTCCTTTTCCAATATTTTCTCATCAGTCTGTCTTCCCCAGCACTCTCTCAACTCCTTCTTTGGGGTAGGAGGGAAAGTTGCATTTTGGGAAGAGACAAATGTTTTTTCAAACATTTTCGGTTCAGACTTTGCCATTGCTATGAAGATGATGGTATCACAGCTTCTTAACAGGCTGCCACGCTTTATGTGTGGCCTCACAATGTTGTTGTTGAGCTGTGGGAGCCTTCAAGCCAGAAGAACAGGAGACGTAATTGTAAACATATTCATATTCTTTACTTTAAACCGTTTCAATTTTACTACGACATCACAGTTTTAAAGAGTTAAATATTCCCTTGCCTCAGTTAAAATTTAGCTGAGATGGTGGGACCGTCTACTTAATAATGTCCATCTCTGATAGGACAGAGCCAAGTGGATGGAGAACCTTGAAAATCATCTGTGCTATTTACTTTTCTGAGAGTTGCTGCTGGATTGGGATTCAAACTAGGGCCCCCTGTATTCCAGTTCAAAGGGACCTCCATTTTTGTTTTTCATTGTGTTTTTCTTGGTAAGATTTGTGGTCACAGCCGTCCGGTTCTTATTCTCAGATTTCATCGGAGGCGTCAAATGTTAAATTGTTTTCCAATCAAGACGTTAATGCGACTCTCCGACCAGTTTCTAAATTATTATAAAAATCCTATGGAATTTGAAAGCATAAAGGCATGTCCACATTTGTGTTTCCTCTGCAGGCTTCACTGTACACCAACCACTCATCTGACCAGTTCCACAATCTGGTTGACTTGGACACCTCAGTGGAGACTCTGTGCGAGAGGATTGTGCGCATGAGAACCAGCAAAGCTACAGGGAAGAAAAAGGCTTCTTTATATGGCAAGGTACAGCAATAAAATTTTGGTGGTTTGGCTGTTCCATCTCGTAGGGGACTGTTATAAATAATGTCAGTGGTTTATTTGTTCTTGCAGGATACTGGGGGGGGGGGGGGGTGTTTCGTATAAAAAATGTGAATATTTTATTTTTAAATTGTTTCACTCTGAGCAAAAATAGGACAGTATTAAATAAATATTGTTGCATGGAAGAAAAAAAAACCCAGCTCCTGAGACAAAAGACCTTAGAGATATTATAATTATGATTAGGGGACCAGCTACTTTGTTGTAGTTTTTGGATCTTCACCTTGCAAACAAAAGTTGAGAGTTCATTTCCCACGTAAAGAAGGCCATTGATATTTCTAAATTGTCTAACGTTCTGTTGTTGTGGTCGTGCTGAAAAACTGATGAACGTTTTTTTAAATCCTGATCAATAAACACACATGTTCCTCAGAAACCTATCCAGTCAGACAGAGCACCGGACTTGATGGAATTCTTCTCTCCTGAGCTCCAGAGAGAAACACCGGACTTGTCATTACCGGGAGTATCGTATGTGACCTCTAAACTCTTGACCTCGCCCCATGACATAGCTTTTGATCTATACCGCCACAACAGACTATGGAATGGCATCAATGACTTTTAGAAGATAATTATATCCAGTGCTAGTCACATTGTCCATTTCTTTGAAGAATTTTGACAAAAATGGCACAGCAACCTGGGCTTTTAATATTCTGGAACCATATTTTTCTGTGAGCTTTTCCCACCAAATCTATTGTATCCTTATCCATACAATCAGTTATTGGTATAATATAAGAGTGTTCATGGTATGTAAACTCTGTTAAGTAGTTCAACTGTTCCTGATATTTTAACTGAGAATTCCCCAGGCATTCTTATCACAGCTACTTTATAAAGAAATTAAATACCATGAGCAAATTTGGTTATTGGATTTTGTTTCGTTTTTGTTTTGTTTTGGGGGGAGGGGGGAGGTTCAATTCGATTGAGGTGT